GAAGATGGTTTTTCATCAGACAGTTTGAATGTTTGCAGACAGTTCAAGTCTGTTTGTCAGGTTACTTTTCACATATTCAAACTGTGCTGTACAATACACTGTAACTGGCAAATGTTTTACATATGCACATTCATCTCACACAGCCTGATCCTACTTTCTTGTTTGCTCCATCCCATGGCGAGGAAACATTAAGGGAGCTGCTCCCTATATCTTTAATGGTTGTGTGTAGGAGAGAGCATTTTGACAAGGTCGGCTGGTTGTACAGGAGTAAGAAAAATGGAAGTTGCTATTTCTATACCACAGCAAATGTTAGTGTAAGAAACTCCGGTTCTCTTCCTATTGTATCTGTTCATGCCACCCTGCTGCCTAGGTTTTTATAAGCTAAGGCTGATCATGTCCATTGTTCTAATGGTAGCTTCTTTTAAATGGCCTGATTAGCAGTTCCAGTGTGTGTGCACTGGCTTAATCGTGTGTTTTCATTATCTAATGCCTTAATTTAACCCCCAGCTATATCCGTAGAAATGATCAGGTTACAGTTAATAATGGTCTAAATAGGCTTGTAACATCATTTGCTGTCCATTTCTAATGGGGCTTTAGTGCCATTTTCCTCTCCCTTCCCACCACAGAAAGGCACTCCAGTAGGCAAAAACAAGAACAATATCCATGTAGCACCATTAATTAGGACTGACCAAGCTGATACAAGACGTTGTACAAGCTTTTCAGCTCACAGGAACTCTTCATCAGGATGGGTATTTAATGTTTTTTAAAAGCTAGAAGGGTTTAAAAGCAGAATTTTATAGGCCACAATGTTAACGGTATAATCTTGCATAGAATTTTATAGGCCACAATGTTAACGGTCTAATCTTGCATGCATCTCGTGTGAAATGTGTGTGTGTGTGTATAAAGTGCTGTCCGTGCATCTCGTGTGAAATGTGTGTGTGTGTCAAGTCGCAGCCGATTTATGGCAACCTCATAGGGATTCCAAGGCAAGAGACAAACAGAGGCGGTTTTGCCCTTGCCTTCCTCTACGTAGCGACCCTGGAACTCCTTGGTGGCCTTCCTTCCAGGTACTAACCAGGACCAACCCTGCCTATCTTCTGAGATCTGACAAGAGCAGGCAGTCGGGGCTATCCAGGTTGGGGGAGGGGGCTGTAAGATGCAAGCAGGTGAATCGCTTGGCTGGCTGAGGAGTCAGGTTACACCACATTCTCTGTATCCCATCCAATGTTCCCTCTAAGCTGTGGAGTCTTGTGAGCAAAAATTCTACTTTGTGAGCTACTGGCATTAAAGTTGTGAGCGAGCATTTTGGCTACTGCATAAATTAGTTTGCTCTTGAGCAAACTTCCTGAGCAAAGACAAAAATGTGTGAGCCAGAGGCTAAAAAACTGTGAGCTAACTCACACTAACTCAGCTTAGAAGGAACATTGATCCCATCCATGTCTTCCAGCCTTTGTTCTTTCACAGAAATACATAAACCACCCAAGGGCTTGCAAAAACCATCTCCAGTATAGCCACAGGCTCAATCAGAAAGCTTTTACTACAAACACCACCCAGGTACCAGCATTTTTCACTTCAAAGCTCCTGTTCAAGGAGAATGAAAATGTGCTTTCTCAAATGGGAGGAAATGGTTTGAGATCTCTTACCAAACTCACAGATGAAGTCAAATTCCTGGCTGCAGTTCTCTGTGACACCCCACTCGTAGCCAGAGTTCTTCAGGATATAGCCGCATGCAGAAGTGAGGACCGAGGGCGGTTCTTGGTGCCACTTGCTGTAGGTGATGTTGGAGGTGTCCAGCCAAACCATGGGACCTGCGTACCAAAGAATTTGCATAGTCATTGGTTATGGACCTACAAATGTCTGTCCTACGGTGTACGGCTGACCAAGCTCTCCTTTCTTGGATAATGCTTCTCTAATGCACAGTGCCCTCATGTTCCCACACACATGATGCCAGACAAGCTGGCCATTTGTGATCGGGAAAGCGCTCTTTAGACTAGGCTTCTTTCTCTTCTTTTTGGCTGCAACCTGGAGATGAACTGGATCTACCTGAATAAGTGTAAGCTTACCTTTCTTGCAAAATACTCCTTGGGAGATTTATTTACTGCACTCAGGATCATTCTTCTGTGACTGGGCAAAACTTTGCTTATATTAATCAAGTAGCCCAATAGTAACAGCCCCAGTCTTCTTTGTATTATGTATTTCATCTTATGTATTAATCAAGTAGCCCAATAGTAACAGCCCCAGTCTTCTTTGGTGGTCACCGATCCAAGTTCTAACCTTGGCCAACCCTGCTTAGCTTCCAAGCTCTGCTGGGCTATTTGGGCTGGTTTGTTAGAATAATCTAAGTTTAAACCATAATTTTAACTAAAATTGGAGAGCGTCAGCCTACATGTTGGGTGCTACATAGCTGGTCAATTTTCTGTCAATGATTGCAAGTCACTTCACTGGTGGGGAGAGAGCTGAGAACTCCCCCCCACACACACACACACAAAAGCAGATTTTTCATCAGCTATTACTCTGGGGAATAGATAATTTGCTCAAACCATATCAGAAACATTGTAAAGTGTACACGAGTTGAGCTATTATAACTACGTAGACCTGGGCTGTCGAACTCATTTGTTATGAGGGCCGGATCTGACATAAATGAGACCCTGTTGGGCTGGGCCATGTGTGTCATAAAATGTAATGCCAGGTAGCGGAGATATAAACTTTATAAAGGACACAATAAACTTACAATAAAACACGCTTAAAAAACATTAGCACTCTTGCAGTATTTTGTTTATTTAACAGTGTCTGATAACTGACACCTCTTGCTCTGAATGATTACATCAAAATGTCTGTGCTGTTGCAATCCTGAGTATGCTGTTCAGGTGTGTTATCTGTAAGCTGCAAACCTACGATGACGCAGCAGCAGCAGAACTGGAAGAAGCAGAAGACAGCCTGATAGAAGCCCTCCGGGGGCCTGATCCGCCCCCCTGGGCCGCATGTTTGATACCCGTGACCTAGACTTTTTTCTGTAATTATCTGGATTTCAGCCATTTTGGTACGACGACAGCAGGACTGATCCTCATTTCGCTCTGTATGCTGTCCCCTATTGCACATGATGCGCAGCACAATGCTCAGTCAGTTGTAGCTGGGAGAGTACTTAACCCCACCTTTGTGTATTATCCACCCATGTCTACCTGTCTTTACCATGTCCATTATTTTCTATCTTGTGAAACTAAGAAGAAAGGAAAGCCTTGTCATTTTCACTGCTTTCATCTTAGGAATTTTTTCATCTTATGTATTACAGCGCGCAGCAGCACTGGCCCACAATGAGGAAACAGAGTTGTCTGCTCAGAGCAGCAGCAGTAGCATGGATGATGCTTCTAGAAGGAGGAAGACCATCTAACCGTAACCCCACCCCACCCCCAGCCCATTCTGCTGGTCCAGGAGCTACAACATTGACCACTGACCTTCTAGCCTAAACCTGGCTTCTGCTGCTTGACATACTTACTCCGGGAATGCCTGTCTCCCGCCTCTCCCATTCAGGGGTCGTTTCGTAGAAAAATTAGCTGTCACCAGGAGAAGGGCCTTCTCGATTATGGCCCCTACCCTGTGGAATGGACTCTGCTAGATTTGTTTCGTTTCCGCAGGGCATGCAAGGCCAAATTGTTTAGGCTGGCCTTTGGAGGGTTGTTCTTATTAGAGCTAGCCACATATTTTAATAGTTTAACATATTAATGACAGTGGTTTAGTGCATGGACTCTATAATCTGGGAGAACCGGGTTTGATCCCCCACTCCTCCATTTGCAGCTGCTGGATGATCTTGGGCAAGCCACAGTTCTGTCAGAGCTGTTCTCTCAAGGACAGCTCTGGAAAGAGCTCTCTCAGCCCCGCCTACCTCACAGGGTGTCTGTTGTGGGGAGGGGAAGGAAAAAGGAGTTTGTAAGCCACTCTGAGTCTCTGAGTGAAGGGCGGGGTATAAACCCAATCTCTTCTTCATACACACACACACACACACATATTTGTTTTTATTTTGTTTTTATCTTATTTGTATGATTTTAATGTAAATCACCGTGAGACCCTGTGGGTGAGCAGTGAAAAAAAAATCTAATAAATAAATTATCTCTTGTCATATTTTCTTATTCCCCGCCTTCTTCTGAGGAGCTTGGGGGCAGCATACATTGCCTTCCCTCCTCCATTTTATCCTCCCAACCCTCCTGTGAGGTATGATAGGCTGAGAGAGTGTGAGTGGCTGGCCCAGAGTCACACATGAGAGCTGGTGTGGCTTAGTGGACAGAGTGCTGGACTAGGATCCTGGGAGACCTGGGTTTGAATCCCCACCTCTACCAAGGAGGCTCGCTGGGTGACCATGGAGCCCATCCCAAACTCTCAGACTGGCCTGCTTCACAGGGTTGTTGTCATAAGAACATGGAGGAGGGGAGAACAATGTTCTAAACTTCTTTGAATCCGAACTGGGAAGGAAAGTGGGATATAAATGAATCAATGCATACCGAGTGAATTTCATGGACGAATGTGGCTTTGAACAGGTTCCCCCAGATCCTAACCCAACACCTTAGACCACTACACCAAGCTGGCTGTCATGTCACATGAACAGAATTGAATCTGTTTTATACTGACTCAGACCATTGGTCCATCAAGATCAGTACTGTCTGCTCAGACTGGCAAAAGCTCTCCAGGGTCTTCGGCAGAGGTCTTTCACATCACCAGCTGCCTGGTCCTTTCAACCGGAGATGCCAAGGACTGAACCCGGGAACTTCTGCATGCAAAGCAGAGGCTTTACCACTGAGCCACAGCCCTCCCAAATCTCCTGCGCATTCTCACTCTCACCTTCAACCCCTATCCTAGTACTACACAGAAGAAAGGTACTCTTTATTCTTACCTTCTGTCGTTTCATTCAAAGAGGAGCTGTAGGTTATCCCAATCCACCACTCCTTCCCCTTCAACCCCTATCCTAGTAGTACACACAGAAGAACGGTGCTCTTTATTCTTACCTTCCGTCGTTTCATTCAAAGAGGAACTGTAGGTTATCCCAATCCACCACTCCTTGTCCTCTAGGATGTGTTCCTCCAAGAACTTTTGGGTTTCTTCATTTTCAATAAAGACCAGATGGCCCCCTCCTCTCTCGCACCAGCTCTGGGCACTCGCAAAAGAGCGCTGGAGCCTCACAATCTCATAGCACGAATGGTTGAAAGCCACTTGATACTTCGAACAAGGCGTCCCCTCTGCCAGGAGTAACTCTTCTGTAGTTGAGCAGAGGACAAGAGAAGAAAGGGTGATGATGAGAATCCACATAATTGGTTCAGTGGTTCACTAAAGGCAGCATGGTCACTGGTAGAACACACCGGAGCATGGATTTCTTGTTGCCCCTGCCTGCCGAGATTTTGGATGTCATTTGACTGCAGCATCTCTTTTTGTCACTCCTGTTCTGAATAATGCCAGGGAAAAAACCCCGCCTAGGACAGTTTGCTCCTGATAAACACAAGTTGCATCTGTGAATACACACAGGAGAAAAGAGCTAGGTGCCAAGATGTACCAACAAGATAGGAGAAAGGTCATTGTGCAAATGTCCAGCTCCAGATGAAAATGGTGGGCCTTAATTTATAGCCTCTTGTTTGAATGCCAGAGATTACTTTGATGTATACAGTCACTGGCCATGTGGTAACCAGAGATAAAGAAACCCTATAAAAGAAGCTATTGTACGTTAGACGCTGAGCATTTGACAGCAAGAATCAGAAATACAGAGAGCTGGTCCGCTATAATTGACAGCTAGAAATTCTGTAACCATAGCTGAGCACTGAAACTGGGCATCTTTGCATGTATGATGTCGTATGTGATTCAAGGCTATGTACGTACGATGTTGAACATATGGAACCAACTCCAGTCATCCTTTCCTTCCAAAAAAAGGAATGGGGAAGGATGGTAGGAATCAGGCCTGGACTATATCTGATCATAACATGGTTGTGGATGGGATGCTTGAAATCCTAAAGCTGTGCCATCCTTGCAGATGTTTTCAGCTGGAAATTGTGCTGGGCTAGAAACATCAGCATCAATAAGTGGGGGGAGGCTAGAGGAAAGTCTTAATGCCAGCTACATTACCTCTTCTCCCTCTCCCATCTACCACCTCCATTTGATCTCTGTGAATTCTAAAACAGACAGCAAGTTGCCAGAAGAGCAAAGAGATCCAAATCTCTCCAAATATTAACAGATGTCAGTAATTATTCCATTCATGATCATAATGACATTGACAAAATGTGTTTTTTCCTTTCATATAGTCAAGTCAGTGTTCAAATACACATTCTTATAAATAGCATCTATATTCTTATGTCCAGTTTCCTTCCTTGAAACTGATTTTATTGAGCACCTATTGTCCAGTGTCTATATCATCATCAACCCACATGAGATAGGAACCCATATATGCTGTGGTGAAGTGCCTTACACTCCAGAATTTTAACATCATAATTGGGCTGACATTCTGTACAGACTCAGAGGTTTTTGGTGTTTGACGGGGAGAAGGGGAAGAGAGAAAGAGGAATGCATAAGACTCACCTCCCAGGCATGAAGCTATCCAGTACCATGGAAATGCAAATGGATCTAGCCAGGACAAGGACAACAACCAGGTTGCACCTTTGCTACAGGGCCTGAGAGGACAAAAGGAAAGAACAACCCCTCCTTTTGGGACAGGAAGAGATAGAGGATCTGCAGGAGGTTGGGAAGGGGAGATAATAAAAGCCCAGGACACAAGGAAGAAACTATCTTAGTCTCTTGGCTGTCTTAGCCATTTTACTGCAGCCTATTCTAAGCCGTCTTCATGTTACTCTGGACTCCATCTTGAGCATGTGTTGCTGAGACCACCTTGGGGAGAATTCCAAGCACTGAAATAACATTACGGATGCTTTCTAAATGCTTGCAACTTTAAGAATTATTTTACCATTGCTGGGATGGTATGTAAAAGTCAGTCAGAGGACTGTATGTTTTCACCTTTTCTTTTAATTCTTGCTCAGATTGTCATGTTAACATATGCTGTACGTTCTTTATATTTTCTTATTAAACTTCTTTTCATTAGAGGTGGAATTAGTCCAATCAGTGACCCACATTGAAGCCCTGTTCAGTCACATGTAGAAAGACTGGAAAGGGGAAGGGGCAGCAGTTGATCTCTACTCCCCTGGAATTTGCAAGTAAGAGCTCCTAGCCCCATGGCTAGAGGTGAAGGAGGAGATGACAAAAGGAGGAGCTGCTTCTTTCAGTGGCTAACGAAGAAGAAAAAGAGAAGAAGAGATTGGATTTATACCCCGCCCTTCACTACCCAAAGGAGTGTCATAGCAGCAAACTCCTTCCCCTTCCCCTCCCCACAACAGACACCCTGTGAGGTAGGTGAGGCTGAGAGAGCTCTGACAGAAACTGCTCTTTTTCACGAACAGCTGTGCCAGAACTGTGGCTTGCCCAAGGTCATCCAGCAAGTGCAAGTGGAGGAGTGGGGAATCAAACCCAGTTCTCCCAGATTAGAGTCTGCGCACTTAACCACTACACCAAACTGGCTCTTGGACTCAAGCCATCAGGCAGAACATGTCTCTATCACATGTAATAATAAAGACAATAATACCAATAATAAATTAAATTAAATGCAGCACAAACACCCCCCTCCACAGCCACCCCTGACATAAATGAAATGCAAAAACACCCCCCACATTAACATTAATGTTTAAAAATTAATTTTAAAAAGCTCATAAGAAAATCTTGTTGGGCTGGTGTTGCCCAGCAAGGAGCTTTGTGTGCTTTTATGGATATAAATGACTGTGTATAAAATGTGCAAAAGGGGCTCTGATGTTAGCCGCCCTGAGCCCGTTCGCGGGGAGGGTGGCATAGAAATCGAATAAATAAATTGTGATGCCAGGCACGCATCAGCAGTAACCTGAAACGATGTGCCCATAGTTCCCGAGGTTGCCCACCACCCCCTGAAGGAAGGCCTGATCACTACGTCTTGACGTCACTGCCTTCATGACCCCGGCAACCTCCTTCCCCCCCCCCAACCTTCTCTGTACAGAAGACACAAAACTCTTTCCTGCCTTTCACTCAACAAAGGACTTAGCCTTCCTAATCCTTTCGAGGAACTGGACCTGGCTGAGGAAATGAACCTCCATCACAATAGGTGACAGTCGATGAGTCATCCCAGCCCTTGAGGTGTCTCTGCCACAGACCTAGAAGTTTAATATTGACTAACCCTTTTAAGTCCCCTCCCCTCCCCATTGTGGATGTGACTTTTGGAACCGACCACCAGGGGTTGTCTCAAGGGAGGTGGCCAGCAGAGCCCTCCCCCCAGAGCCCCCATACAAAAGTGGGCACCCAGCAACACGATCTCTCTCTCTTTTGCCCTCTCTAAGACCCCCTCTCCTGCTCTCTAAACATACCCTGCCTCTAAGACTTTTGGACTGCAGCCAAAGTCTCCATGTGTTTCTGGCCGGTTCAGAACATCCCTATTTCCTGTTAGTCTCCCCTATTTTTCCATTTGGACGCATCATCACACCGGACAGGTAACTATTGCCCCCCAACAATATCCTGCTCATGCGAATGTCTCTATTCTCTATCTAATTTTCTTAGAAGCTGTAACTGTGTGTGTGCTTGTGTTTTCTTTGCTTGTGAAGAATCTACAGTAAAGGAATCATTTTATATTGAAACTAGCATCCATGTCTATTACTGGTGTTTCTGGAAGAAGCGGGACCCCTGTATATAAAGTTGTTTGTTTCCTTATTGCCTATTGCTCTTTTATAATATCTCATATTCCCCAATATTGATAATAACTCAGAGCAATCAGGCTAACACTGGTCCTTTAAGGAAGGGGGCGGATCCCCCCAATAGCCTCACTGTAGCTACGGGCCAGTTCCCAATGCATTCTTGCCACCAATCTCACAGTTGATTACCTGTAAACATTCAGACTGCAGATTATGGAGAGAGCTTGTGTGTATACACAAAGCAGCCAATCAGTTAGTGGAGTTCAGGGTGAGGTCAGTAGAGTGGTCACAGTCAACCTCTCCACACATGGATCATTCACAGATTTTAGTTGTATGTTCAAGGCTGTGGTATCATAGTGAATAACGTTTGGCCTCTGATGAGCTAACCAGCACTGCACAATCAGTTACATGGAATATTGGTTCTGCTCTGTTTTGAATGTATTTTGCTTCCAACTTGATTCTGTGCCTTGCTTCCTAGTGAAATGTGCTTCCATAGAGTCCTTTGAGGCTATGCTCTAGTTCTGCTCCTAACCTTAGTTTCCTAACCGGTTGCCCCGGTAAGAAAGAGAAGCTTGGGATACTAAATGTTTAAGTAATCCTCTATGATTATCCAAATGTTATGTCCCAAGGGATGAATTCCAGACCTGCTCAACAGACACCTTAATTACCCAGAGTTGGGTGGGCCATGGGAATTCGGCCAGGTCTATGTGAACTTGCTGACTCAGTAGGTTAAGCAGACCAAAGTTTCCTTCATGCATAATCTGAGGACAATTTTCTTCTCACTCTGGAAAAAACACGTTTCTGTTGACAGAGACATGTCCTGTGATACACATCTTCCTACTATGTACAGTTCTGTCACAGTATCTCAAAAATGATATTGTAGAGGTGAGGAAAGTGCAGAAAAGGGCAAGCAAAATGATCAAGAGTTTGGACTGCCTTTCCTTTCAGGAAAGTGTTTGTGTGTGTGTGTGGGGGGGGTTAATGAAGGGGAAAGACACCTAAGGAGGAACATTACAGAGGTTTATAAAATAGCTAGGAATAAGACCTGTTGTGGAAATCAATACAATGAGCTCCAGAAAGAGGCTCTTGACAGGTGCCCTGGCCTTAGGCACTCAGTGTTAATTTGCTGTGGCAACCTCAGCAGGGAATAATGACACAGAGTCCACCATTTTCTCCAGGGGAATTTATTTGAAGAGCAGTTGTAATTCTGAATTATCTCCAGCCCTCATCTGGCAATTGGTAACAATGGTTCCCCAGGAGGAAATGACTGGTTTGGAGGATGGAGTCTATGGCATTGTGCCTGCCTGAGGTCCCACCCCTCCTCAAACCCTAGCCCAGTGGTGGCGAACCTATGGCACGGGTGCCAGAGGTGGCACTCAGAGCCCTCTCTGTGGGCATGCGTGCCATCACCCCAGCCAGGCCCAGACCATCATTAAAGTGCCGAATTCTCTGCCAAATAATTTTAAGTAAATGAAAGCATTTGGGACTGCTTTCCTTACTTTGTTTGGATCATCTTAAGTTAATGTATGAGTTGTTTTTACGAAAGTAAAACCTCAGTATTCAGGTTAAATTGCCATGTTGGCACTTTGCGATAAATAAGTGGGTTTTGGGTTGCAGTTTGGGCACTTGGTCTCTAAAAGGTTCACCATCACTGCCCTAGCCTCTCCAGGCTCCACCCCTCAAATCTCCAGGAATTTCTCAACCTGGAGGTGGCAACCCTATCTCCTTCCCAGCTAACCATCAACGTACCATTATCTGCAATTCTGACTTCATCTTTCCATCTCCTCCCCCTTCCCTGCAGCCTCTACGAAGGGAAAGTACAGTCTTTCTCCACAGTGGGAACCAAAGCAGCTCACATTATTCTCCTCTCCCCCTTTTTATCTGCACAACAACCCTGTGAGGTAGTCCCCTGGAGAAAATAACTGCTTTGGAGGGTGGACTCTATGGCATTCTATTCAGCTGAGGCCTCTTCCCTCCCCAAACTCTGGCTTCTGTGGACTCCACCACAAAATCTCCAGGAATTTCCCAACCTGGAGCTGGCAATCCTAGTCATGACTGGCCCCAATGTGTTCCCCACAAAGGCCAAAGGAGGCCTGCAAAGAGCCTCCTGCCTTTGCCTTTTTACTGACAGAACCAAGCTTGGTTGCCTAGCAACAGCCACTGAGGGCAAAGTGAGCCCCACAGCAGGAGGAGAAGAGGATGGTTTGATGGCCAGTTGCTCACCTCAGTAGCTAGCCAGCCAGCCGCAGAGGAGAAGAAGTAGCAGCAGTAGAAACCTTTTCCTGAGCAGGAAACAGCTGTTTCAGTAGGCAGCCAAATGTGGAGGAGTGAAACAGTGGCAGTAGAAGACAACTGTTTTGGTGGTTTATGCAGACAGGGAAGAGTGGCCAAGCCAGCAGTGGGCAGGGGAGAGGAGCGGACCCAGCATCCAGCCATTTGCACGTGACTACTCTTAAGTGGCGGTTGTTGGGCCATTGCTGATGGAGCATATAGCATAGACAATGGGAGAGCCTGAAAGTGCCAATATGCTAGGGCTT